TTTTTTGGTCCTTCGAGCCGGATTGCGGCGAGGCTCTCGGACGGCTCATCTCAAGGCGCAGTGCTCACGTGATCTCACGGCCTTTTCGCGTGTTCAGGGGCGCGCTCACATACGGGTTTCACTCATTGTGCACGTGATCTCACGATTCTCTCGCGTGACTCATCAGGTACGGCTCAGTTCTCACCATTCAGCGAGAATCCTAACCTCGCTCACTCATGGCGGACGAGAACAAGACGGGCAAGACGGACCGCCCGAAAACACCGGTGTTGGAGGTGCCGCAGGGAGACCGCGCGTCGGGGAGGACGGCGTCTCCTGCCCGGCTAGCACCGGAGCTCGCATTGAAGGCTCGGAGTCAGATGGGCCGGATTGCGCTGCTCAAGGAGCTCATTGATTCCCTGCCGGTTGTCCCAGCGGAGACCTCACTCGAGGAGGTCTCTCAATTTCAGCAGCAGGCCGAGGAAATACACAAGGCCTTTGCCAAGGAACACGCCTACCTTGAGGTCTCATGGCCGGCGGCGTTCCTCAACGATGAGTATTTCTCAGGGAATGCTCACCTCGAAGAGGGGCGGTGCCACCTGCAAGCGCGAAGGATCATAGGCGTGCTCCGCCACGCACTGACAGCTCAGCCCGCTCAACCGCAGACCAGCTCATCGGCCGGCGAAACTCGACAGCCGCACTCACGCTTGCCGGACATCTCACTCCCCAAGTTTACTGGGGAGTATACTGAGTGGCCTGCGTTCAGGGATCTTTTCACCAGCCTGATTCTTCAGAACGAGCAGCTCACGAACGTCGAGAAATTGCACTATCTCCGTTCGTCAGTGGAAGGCGCGGCAGCTCAACCGATCGCAGGTTTCACTATGGCCGGCGACTCACTCATGCCATCCTGGAAGCTGCTCAAAGACCGCTTCGAGAACAAACGTCTGCTCATCCATGCTCTCCTGGATAAACTGTTTGCCAGCTCAACCCCGGTGCCACGGAAGGCGGCGGCATTGGATCGACATGTCTCAGGATTCAGGGAAGCGCTCAAGGGACTGGAGGCCCTCGAGGTGACGGACAAGCTCGGGGATTGCGCAGTGGTGTACCAGGCCACGCGACTCTTAGATCGCGTGACGCGCGAGCAGTGGGAGAACTCGGTCGGAGCGACGCAAGAGTATCCCACGTTCGAGAAGCTCGACGAGTTTCTGACAACGCGGATAAGGGCTCTCGAACGGATCGAGAGTACGACAGCTCATCCCGGTCCTACCACAACCTCCTCACCAACCAAGAAACCGGCAGCTCAGCGGGTGGCTCATCAGGCGACTCAGCAGGGCGACTCGTCGTATCCGTGCGACTGTTGCAACGCGCAACATTTCATCGTGATGTGCACGAAGTTTCGGGAGCTGTCGCCATCAGCCCGGCACAAGGTGGCAATTGACAAGCGCTTGTGCTTCAATTGCCTGGGGAGGCACAGCGTGCGGGCATGCAAGTCCCAGCGCGGGTGCAAGAAGTGTTCGCAGCGGCACCACACCATGCTCCACGACGCATCTGCAACGACTTCGACCGCTCAAAAGCCTGGCGGCTCGTCGGGCACGCCCGCAACATAAGAAGACGGTGCAGTCGTCGAAGCCAGCTCAAACGCCCGCTCATCATACTCGACTCTACTCGCCACAGCCTTGGCAGTGATTAGCTCATCGACAGTACAACATTCAGCGCGTCTGCTCATTGACACAGGATCCGAGCTCACCTTCGTCTCGGAGAACCTCATCCGGCAGCTCAACATCCCTCGTCAATACTCAGGTATTCTCATCACTGGAATTGCAGGCAAGGAGTGTACTCGGACACGAGGAGTCGTATCACTCACGTTACGCTCGACACATTCCAACGCAGCTGCCACAATTCAAGCTCATGTCCTCCGGACAGTTACATCAATCTTACCATCGTTCGAGGCGGAACCGGAAGAATGGCCGCATCTCAGGAACTTGGCATTAGCCGATCCTGATTTTCTCATCCCACGGCCAGTTGACATCCTCATCGGCGCAGACGCTTACGGGCAAATCATCAAGCCCAACGTCATCAGGCATTCTCCACTCATGCCGATAGCGCAACTCTCCATTTTCGGATGGCTCGTTCTGGGACCAGTCAAGAAGGAAGCAACACGCACATCAACGCACCATGCTTCTACTCAAGTCAACGAGGATGATCTCAACGAGTTACTGACAAAATTCTGGGTACAAGAGGAGGTGCCCACTCACGATGTCAACCAACTCACTCCTGACGAGCAGAGGTGCGAAGAGCACTTCAAGGCCACACACTCTCGTGACCCATCTGGAAGGTACGTCGTCAGGATTCCGCTCAAATCACCAGCAGATCTTCTGGGTGACTCTTACCACGTCGAAGGCATCATCCATCTCCAGTCGCCGCTCACACTTCTACCTACCACATCACGGTGTTCTCAAGCCTGACAGTACAACAACGAAGCTGCGAGTCGTATTTAATGGCTCCAGCGCATCAACATCGGGCTACTCTGCTAACGACCTCATGTATACTGGAGCGAAATTGCATCTGAATATCTCAGATGTTCTCCTCTGGATACGAAGACACCGTCACATTTTCGCTACAGACATCACCAAGATGTACAGGCAGATCAAAATTCACAAGGATGACTGGGAGTTGCAACGGATACTCTGGATGGACGATCAACTCAATGAAGTGCCATATCATCTGACAACCGTCACCTACGGGACAAAGGCCGCGCCGTTCTTGGCCGTTAGGACGCTGTTACAACTAGCAGAGGACGAAGGACATAAATATCCATTGGCTGTGCCATCCATCACTCATGGCAGGTATGTCGATGACATATTTGGTGGTGCAGATACGATTCAACAATTGCAGGAGGTCGCACATCAACTAAAGGGCCTCTGCATGGCGGGCGGCTTTCCACTGGCAAAATGGCATGATACTCATCTCGACATACTCAAGACTGTCACCGACAGCGAAGACCAAGGCTTACCAATCACATTCGACGATTGCGCAACCAAGATACTCGGACTTAAATGGCTCCCTCAAGAAGATACCTTTGCATTCTCAACACGAAGCTCACGCAAGGACGGCAGACTCACAAAACGCCTCGTATTATCTGAAGTGGCTCAGATATTCGATCCACTTGGCTTTGCATCACCTGTTGTGATCAAGGCCAAAATTCTCTTGCAGGAGCTGTGGCTGCACAAGCTCCAATGGGATGATCCACTGCCATCCCAGCTCTCAAACCGGTGGCTCTCCATCAGAGAAGAACTCACAAGTCTGGCCAGACTCTCAATACCTCGGTGGCTCAATACATGGAGCGACTCGCAAGTGGAACTTCATGGATTCTCTGATGCTTCTCAATTGGCAATGGCTGCAGTCATATACATATCCGTCCACGACTCAGACGGCGCCACGTTCTCACTTGTGTGCTCCAAAACTAAGGTAGCACCTCTCAAGCGGCTCTCAATCCCGCGACTTGAACTCACGGCTGCTCTTCTGCTCTCTCGGCTCATGCAATACGTCACAGCCACCTTGAACATGGACGTTACGACAACGCATATGTGGACGGACTCTCTAGTGACACTCTCGTGGATCAGATCTCATGCATCACGCTGGAAGGATTTCGTCAGGAACAGGGTGGCTCAAATTCAAGAACTCACTCCAGCTGCTCACTGGAGATACATTCCCGGGACTTCTAATCCGGCTGACTGCGCATCACGAGGCCTCACGACTGCTCAGCTTCAAAACCACGCACTTTGGTGGACGGGACCACCATGGATACTCAAACCAGACTCATGGCCGTCGCAACCTGCACTCTCTGACGAGATGAGTGCAACAGAAGCTCGCCCAGGCGTTTCGCTATTGACGGTTACGCCAAGGACTGAATATCAATGGGAACTCATCTACAGGTACTCAAGCCTCACTAAACTATTGAGGATTACAGCTCTCTGTTTCAGATTCGTCTCACGGTTGAGGAAAGTCCACGACTCATTGCCTGTCAGACACATCTCTCCAGAGACCTTGGAGAAAGCGAGGCTCTTCTGGATTCAGGCAACTCAAGCAACGTACTTCTCGCACGAGCTCAAGGCATTACAGGCAGACTCACCGTTGGCAAAGGCGCACGCATTCAACAGATTGACTGCGTACATCGACGCTCAAGGAGTCATTCGCGTCGGCGGACGACTCGCTCACGCAGCTCTCTCATTCGACGCGATACATCCTGTAATACTGCCTCGTCACTCTCAGCTGTCGTCATTGATCATCGCTCACGCTCATCAACGGACTCTACATGGAGGCACGCAGCTCACGCTGTCACACATCCGACAACGATACTGGATTCTCGGCGGGAGGGCTCCTGTCAAGTCTCACATCCTGCGGTGTGTCACGTGTGCTCGTCAGAGGGGGATCCGTGCTCATCAATTGATGGGCCAACTACCTCTCTCTCGAGTTACGCAGGCACGACCGTTCACTCATACAGGTGTAGACTACGCAGGGCCGCTCACCGTCAAAACATGGAAAGGAAGAGGTGCCAAAACGAGTAAAGGCTGGATCTGCGTTTTTGTCTGCTTCTCAACCTCAGCAGTACACCTCGAGGCGGTCAGTGACTACTCAACGGAGGGATTCATTGCCGCCTATCGACGCTTTTCATCCAGACGCGGCATTGCTCACACCTTACACTCCGACTGCGGCACCAATTTCATCGGCGCGGATGCAGCGCTCAAAAGGCTGTTTATCCAGTGCACTCAAGAACATCAGCGAGTTTCTCACCTGCTCTCGCAAGATAACACCCGATGGGAATTTAATCCCCCAGCGACACCTCACATGGGAGGAAAATGGGAGGCCGTCGTAAAATCCATCAAGT